GGGCGTTTTTGGGTTTTTTTTGTACAAACCGACATGTTTTTTTTTAAGGAGAAGCGGGTCATTGCAAAGGGCTGGGTATCTTTTTTTTTTCTGGTTTTCTTTCATTTCAAAGCAATACCAAGTTCTTCAGCAGGACGGTCTGTGCAGAATCATGCCATTCACCCATACACTGGTCCACTCTCAACACTTGCAAATTTTTTTATAACTATAAATACAATATATATAGGAACTAATATAGTAATGCACCGTGTAATGAAGCCTAGTTCAGTATCGGTTCATGGCTTTTAATTCTCTTTAACACTATAGATAAGGATTGTGTTACAGTTGCTCACAGCTCCAGGAAAGCCTTGCTGCTCACTCCCTCCCCACTGGCAGCCAGGGCCAGAAGCTGGGAGCGGGTGGTTTGGCCTTTCCTGGCCCTTCTTGTTACAGTCAGTACTTGTACAACTTGGTTTCTTCCTTTCCTTCCTCTTGTTTTGGTTATGAATGTTGGGGTACCACCTACATATAGGGAAAAATGTGCTCTGTGCTTTCCTGGTATCTTTTTAACAAGGTACAGTAGCTTCGTCTATCGGCCGAGAACTATACTTGTGGTGTTTCTTTTATTGAACTTACAGTCTCTTTAGTAACTACAGATAGGTGAATAATTGTTTCAAAAAACAAAAAAAAAAAAAGGAAAAAAAAAAAGCTCTGCAAAGGCAAGGTTATGTTCTAGAAATACATTTCTTGACAACTTATCATGTATAACAAAACTTTTTTTTTCTTGTGTTCTTCCAATCTACAGGTTGGTTGTTTTTTTTTTTGTTTTTTTGGCTTTGGTTTTTTGGGTTTTTTTAAAAAAAGAGGAAACGTGTCTAAAGTACATCAGTGTTAACTCCCTGCCACAGGGAAGAAGGAAATACTTTAATAGTTTAAAAAAAATGCTGAAAGCTCTGCAAAAGACTGAATGTAAAAATAAAAAGTGTACATAGTTGTAAAAAAAAAAAAGGAGTTTTTAAACATGTTTATTTTCTATGCACTTTTTTTTATTTAAGTGATAGTTTAATTAATAAACATGTCAAGTTTATTGCTGCAGAGGGCTCTCTCCATTTCTTCTTGAGAACTGAGAAGCTGCTTCTTCTCCAAGACACTCCCAAGGGATGGGAGCCCCTGGCCAGCACCAAGGGCTGCACGGGGTGCTCAGTGCGGAGCCCTCGGCTCCGGTGTGTGCGAGTGACCTTGGGTCACTCTGGGGGCACTGGCTGGGCGGTGGGGCCGCAGCCCAGGCTGCAATAGGACGAGGCAGGGTGAACATTAACTGGGCTGTGGCAGCCTGCTTGTGCCTGCAGCCTTGCCATAGGCCGCAGTGACACAGCAGCATGGCCACGGACAACGACAGGGCCGTCCTGCAGACCATCTTCAACCCCAGCACCCCTTTTGGGGATATCCCAGGGTTGGATGAGGAGGAGGAGGATGTCCAGGACGAAGGTGAGTGATGCTGCATCAGGTTCTCGCTGGAATTGCCAGCAGGGTCCCCACAGGGCAAGCAGGTGGGCAGGGAAGGAGGCTCTGCAGGCTGGGAGCAGAGCCTGCTTGAGGAGGCTCCCTGCCCTGTGTCTGTTCCCTTCTGGACAGGGAGTGCAGGGTGGCAGTGGGACTGGGCCCCGTGGGTCGTCCTGGTGCCTCCACTTCCCAGTCACGGTCTCCCGTTTGCACTGCAACAGTGGAAGCTTTTCCGTTGGAGCTGCTGGATCAAGTGCGGGAGCTGGAGCTACAGGGGGTTTCTGCGGCTGAGTCAGGAGACATCAGCACGGCCCTGGAGCGGTTCAACGAGGCCATTCGCCAGCTGCCCGAGCGCGCCTCGGGCTACAACAACCGGGCCCAGGCCCTGCGTTTGCGCGGAGACGTGGCAGGTGAGCAGCGCCGGTGCGGGCGGTCTCCTGGAAGCCCCAGCCCCTACCAACACCTGCCCTCGTTGCCAGGCGCCCTGCAGGACCTGGACGCTGCCATACGGCTGAGCCGCGGCCGCGGCCGTGCCGCCTGCCAGAGCTTCGTGCAGCGCGGCCTCATCCACCGGCTGCAGGCGCGGGACGAGGACGCCCGGCGGGACTTCGAGCGCGCAGCGCGCTTGGGCAGCGCCTTCGCCCGACAGCAGCTCGTGCTCCTCAACCCCTACTCTGCGCTCTGCAACCAGATGCTCTGCGAGATGCTCGGTCGGCTGCGCAACCCCGATGGGACCGGGAGCGACTGAGACGGGCAGGAGATGGGCTGGGTAGAGCCGTGCTCCTGAGCTGGCCCAGGCAGACATGTCTGAAAGGTCCAGAAAAGGTCCACCTCAGGTGCCAGAGCTCCTGTTCCTCCCTCTGGCTAACAGCCAGGGACGGGAAAGTACCAAAGCACCTTGCTGTGTTTGTCTCGCTGTGCTCCACCCCGAATAAAGCTCCCTCTGTTCCCAGCACCTGGGCTCCGCTTGTGGCATTGCAGGAGGCATTGTGGTGTGATTCCCAAGCGCGCACAGCCCCGGTGAGATGGGTGGCGCGGTGGGCGCAATTCTGGGCCCGCTTCCCTGCAGATGGGAGACGGGAATCGCAGGGACGCGCACACCCCGGCCCGGCCCGGCAGCCCCCGGCCGCCCTCGCAAGCGGCGGCACCGACCCCGCGGCTGCGCGCGGCGGTCGCGCTCGGGAAGGCGGCGACGGGGCCCGGCCAGAGGGACGAGCGCTCGCAGCCGTGCCGGGCCCGCCCCTGCGCCGCATGCACTGCCCTGCCCGCCGGGCCCGGGCGCAGAGCCGCACTGCAGACTGGGCTGGACACGGTAGCAGCAATGCTGCAGGTAAGGTGCGGCTGGGCCGCATCCTCCGACCCTACTGTGTGCTGGAACACCACGTCCCTGCTCTAGCTGCCTCTCCTAGCGCTGAGCACGGCTGATATAACATGGGCTGTGCCAGCGGCTGGCCGGGGGCTGCCCTTGCCCTCCTGCTGCTACTGCTGCTCAGCCTCCTGGCGCTCTGCTTGGCAGGTGAGGCTGTGGTGGGGTCCGGTGCATGACTCCCAGAGCAGGACCCCTGCCACCGCTCTGATGTGGGGGGGGCTCTCTAGCAGCACTGGAGGAGCTGGACCCCACCACTGAGAGGCAGCCGCGAACAGTGTGCACCCTGCAGGAGGGGGAGAGTCGTATCTTCACCTGCTGGGCTCCCCGGCCAGCCCCTGGTGCCACGCTGGCCTGGTACCTCAACGGTCAGAAACAGGAAGTCAACCTCTCGACTGCAGACACTGCCAGCATCCTCACCTTCACTGGCCAGCGCTCCGACCACCAGCTCAACTGCTCCCTGACCATCCCGACCTCCAGTGAGAGCTACAACATCTCCATCCTTCTCAATGTGCAGTGTAAGGTCCACGGTGCCGGCCTGCTCCAGACTGGGATGTGGGGAGGGTGTGTGGGGCTCCCATCCAGCTTGGGCACGACCATAACCTGCATCCACCACAGCCATAGCAGGGCAGTATCTTGTCAGTCCCGTGCAAACGAGGTAGCCAAGCGCTCCTGGACCCAGGCGAGACAAATCCTGCTCCTAGCTGTGTTGTCCCCATCCCTCCTCCCCATCTCACTGCCTGTTTTTTACCCAGATAAGCCAGAGATCCTCCAGGAAGGTGCCCACTACCAGCAGCTTGAGGGCACTGGCCTTCTCCTGGTGCTCTTTGTGCTGGTGCAAGCCAACCCACCTGCCAGCATCACCTGGATGGACCAGGATGGGCATGTGATGGCCAACACCTCCAAGTTCCTCCTCCTGGGTGCCACAAGCTACCCAGGGCTGGCCAACCACTCACTCCACATCCATCTCAACTGCACAGCTGGAAACCTCTCCATCAGTGCAGCCAACAGTGTGGGCATCACCACTGCCTCCCTCCTGCCCACAGGTAACTGTTGAGGGGTGGGCATGGTGCAGTGGCCCCGTGGAAGGGTGCTGAGGGCTCTACACTTCTGGTGCAGGTCTGCTGGATGCCCGTGTGGAGCTGCCTGTCCTGGGTGTTGCCATTGGAGCAGCTCTGGCCCTATCTGCCCTGCTCAGCCTGGGCTCCTGTGCTGCCTGCCTGGCATGTCGCTTGCCCAAGCTTATGCGAGGTCCGGGGCAAGCGGGACCCAGCCCACCCAGCCAGTGCTCCCACTGCAGCAGCTCTGAGCCCCCGCAGCCCCAGGGCACACGTCTGCCCCGCCAGACCCAGTCCCTGCCACCCAACCTGCGCCTCGGTGACCTTGCACAGGAAGATGGAGGTAAAACCCTGATGTGCCAGTGCAGCGAGACGTGTGGGGCTGCAGGTCCTGTCTGGGTGAGGGATAGATGTCCTGGCTCTCATTCCTTTGCTTTTCTGCAGCTTCCCCCAAGGATGCAGGAGCCAGTGCTAGGGGAGAAGAAAGTGCCCTGCTGGGACTGGAAAACTCCCTGGTCCTCAGCAAGCTTGGTAAGGGGAGCAGGTGGGCAAGCAGCCCTAAAAGATGTGTTGTGGGACATGGAGCTCCGTGGCTGCCCCAACAGGCAATGAGTTCTTTGTCCTGCAGGTTTTATCCAGCTCCCAGTGTCTGGGCGCATCTACAAAGTGCCCAGCATGAGCAGTGATGAGATCTGGCTGTGAGCTGCAGCGTGGAGCCCATGAGCCAGGGCTGTGCCAGGAGCTGAGCAGCTGAGGGTGCCAGGAAGGCCGTGGTGGAAGTGGCAGCTGACCAGCCCCAGCTCTGTGCTGTGCAGGGCTTGGGAGCTGTGCTGTCAGCCAAGGCATGGGTTTATGCAGTCCCTGAACTTTACTGATATTCTGTTATAATCAAAATGCATCAAAACTGTTTATAGCCAGGCTCTAGCACTGCGATTCCTCTTCGGTAAAGCCAAGCACCAGCTTTGCTTTAGCAGGTTTGTGACTCCCTGCATGATCCTCTTTGCCCCTGTCCCTGCTGCTGTGGCAGATGGGTGGGAGGTCAGCGGAGCAGGGACTGAGGAGAGCCCAACAGCAATAAACTGAATCCAAGCATCTCTGTGGTGCCATACAGGTTATTTCTGCTTGACAGGAGCCAAGGGACTCTTCTCAACAGGAAAGGGGGTGCAATAATTAGGAGCAGAGGAGATTCAAGGTCTCCAGGTCAGAGCTTGCAACACCCTGAGCAGATCTGAGTGTTGTGTCTGAATGTGGAATTTATTCCTGTTTGCTCCAGCCCTTACAGTGTGTGCTGAAGGAGCCTCTGCTCTGCAGCACCTGTGGCAGAGAGAGCTTGACACTGGGAAAGGCTGGTTTAATGCTGAACTCCTTGGGAACAAGTCAAAAATTGAGCCATTAGGCAGCTTCTGCAACAAATATGGTCAGTCAAGCCCTACTCCCTAACACAGAGCAGCCCAACAATGTCTCTAAGATCAGAGAGGCTTCTGATTTGCTGTGTAATATCTCCCAGCCTGCTCTGGGTACACCTCAGTGTCCAGTGGCAGACAGTGATCCAGGAGATGAGGCTTTAATGTGAAGCATCAATTAAAGCTCAACACCTCTGCCTCCGCTGCTTGTGAGGGTGGGTTGGATGGTGGGCTCCTGCCCTTCTGCCCATCAGCCAGGGGCTTGAAGTGCTGCAGGAAAAAGAACATGCTCATGCAAAGATTTGACTCCCACTGCTCAGAGCACACACAACGCATCTGAATGCGCTGGCCACACCCTGAGTTGTGCTCAGCAACCAGCCCAAGGAGATGCATTCTGGCTTGTGCTGGCCTGTTGAACAACACGGCACCTCAGCCCAGAGCACAGCCCAGCTCCCTGTGTCAGGCAGAGGCACCAGGGAGAAAGAGGATCAGCTGAGAACGTGTTCTCTGGGGCCTTTGCACACTCCCATTGCCATCACAAAGCCAAATGTGAAGGGCCCAGCTGTGCAGTGCTGCTCGCTGGGTGAGCAGCACCGGGGTGGAGCTGCGTACCTGCGAGTTCTTGAACTCCAAGAAGAGGGAGAAGAGCACGTGCAGAGGGTGGATCCGGCTCTTGTACACGGGGATGTCCAGAATGGCTGTGGGTGAGATCAGAGCGTGTGAGGGCACCTGGTCTGCACTGCCCCATGCAGAGCATTGTCACGAGGGGCTGAACTCCCACTGCCCCCCACCACTGGGGCTCCAGGCACCAAAGACTGCAGACCCCAGTAGTACAAGAGCCCACCTCCCACTGAAGCAGAGGGAATAATCCCGAGTGCTCGGGGCTGAGCCTGCAGCTAAAGCTCCCTGGCTTTCAGTGAGAGTGCCAGGCCAGCGTCACATTGTGTCAGCAGCACAGCCTCCCCAGCTCACCACAGATCATGTCGATGTACTCAGCAAGGTCACAGCTCATCTCTGCGCTTGGAAGGCCCACCTGCAACAGACAGGGCTGTCAGATCTGCTCCGACTGCTCGAGCTGGGAGCAAACAGAGGCCACTGGGGCAGCAGCTGGGAACTCCCCTGTTGGGCTGCTCCCCAGCTTCTGCCCAGGGCGGAGCCGTGAGGAGGAACAAGCCCAAGAGGCCTGGGCTGTGGGCACCCAGCTTTCATGGGAGATGGTTTCTAAGACCAAGCACTGAGCTAACTACTGGTCACCCAGACCATATACCTTTCCCAGGAGCTCCTCAAATTCTGGTGACCATTCCTGCATCAGGGTCTCAATGTCAGGCATTGGCCTGCCAGGGAAGAGTAGAACATCAACTTCAGCATCAAACACAACCTTCCACTGCCAGCATCAGAAGTAATCCAGTAACTCACCTGGAGTAATGGACTGTGGCAGGAGGCTTGCAGCGATGCAGTTCACTAATACTTTCAATCCAGCTCTCAATGGCTTTAGGGTTATTTTCTGCATTCTCCAAACTCTTCACTTTTATTTGCTGCTAAAAACACAAATATAAACCTGGAAGTGTTTAATGGTGTTTTGGGGCTTTTTGGGAAAGCTGCATTCACTTCTGGTGAACCAGGCCATCTCTCTTTCCCAGTTTGCACTTTCCCACATTGCACTTTACCAATGGATTTCTGCAGGCAAAATGCCAACTAAAACCGGGTATGAACAACCAAAAGGAAATAAAGCATCACCTGAAGTGAACAGACCCAGAGTTCATATCAAGACTTGACTAAAGCAAGGCTCAGATCCACTGCAGTTTAAAAGTATGGATTAAAGCAAAAGGTCTGGTTTTGCTGCTTTTAAAGTCAACTTCTCAGTTGTAAGAGTAAAATGCCATGGTTTTACTGCAGGAAATGTGCAGCAAGTGTGACCTCCCCCTCCCTGACTCACTGTGATGTTGTGCTGCTTGGAGTTCTCTGTCAGCCAAAGGGAGAGCACGGTGGGGTCTGACTGCTTGGTTGAGGGCTCATCCAGGACCAGCAGGCCAAGGTTGTCAGGCTTGCCATCGGGACGAGGAACCTGCAGGAAAACAGAGCCCTGTTCTCTGGGGATCCAGGGCAGGTGCCTTCCTGTGGGCTCTCTCAGATGTGCATTCTAAGTAGGGTGCTGCCTGAAAAGCACACGGTGTTGGAGAAGGAAAACCCAGGCTTTCCCCCAAGTTACCCAAGTGCTGTTTGGGAGGTGACAAAACCACCAGTGTAGTTTTCCAGGTCTCTGCCTGTTACATCTGACAGAGCAGGGGCAGACCAGAGCCCAAGCTGCATGGCCTGGCTGCCTACCTGCTCTGAGCCTGCGTTCTGTTTCGGTTCATGGAGCTGGACAGAGAGGGGAACCTGAAGAAACTGTACCTTTAGGAATGCATCAATGTCTCCAACAGCAGGAATAAAGTCTGGAATAAAAGGCTGCAGCTTGTGCTCAATCTCTATTGTTTTGGGAGTGTACCTGGAAAAAACCACCACCACAGCATAGGTGACTAGAAACTGTGCTGCAATAATTGACACAAAGGAGAGCCACCACTCACCTCTTGATGTATTCAAAGAGATCTTTGATTTCAGAGGACACTTGCAGGTAGTCAAAATCTGCTGGATTGAAGTCACTAAAAGAAGGAAGAGAGTAGAGGGAGATTAGTCTCTCCTGGGCACAGCAAACAAGCCCAGGACAGGTTCACCAGCTGGAGGGACCACCACCCTGAAGCATCGGGGAGGAGGAGGCAGGAGCTGCCTGTCCCAATGGCCACGACTCTGCTCACCCTCGCGGGATCTGGGAAAACCGGGGGAGCTGCCCCAAAGGCAGCCAGCAGCCTCAGCCCGGCCCCGTGGCCAGGAACGCCGCTCACCCTTCCAGCGCGGCCCCGTGCTCCTCCGAGTCCTCCTCCGAGTCGCTCTCCGAGGAATCTTCCTCCGAGTCCTCGTCGTCCTCGTCGTCATCCTCGCTGAAGGTGGCTGGGCCGGGGAGGTGTGCCGCTGCCTCCTCCTGGACGAGAGCCGGGTCTCACGGGATATCACCGAGCCCCACGGGTTCGTGCCCCCGCCCGCTGCGCTCGTACCTTCCCTCCGCTGCCCCGGCCGCCGCTCCCGGCCGCTCCGACCGACACGCCGGGCCGACGGGAGTCCCGCAGGCGGCCCGCGGTCCCCGCCCGCGGCGAGCGGGCTCCGGGATCGGCCTCAGGCAGCTCCAGGCTCTCGTCGTACGGCTGGTTCTCCACCGGGCGGGGCTGCGCCGAGAGCCGAACTCAGCGGCGGCGAGGCCCGGGGCGGCCCGGCGCCCGCACCCACCGTGCGCTGCCACGCTGTGTCCCGTGCCCCACCTCCGCCCGCGCCCCGTGTCCCGCCGTGTCCCGCCGTATCCCCCGTGTCCCACCTCCGCCCGCCGTGTCCCGCCGTATCCCCCGTGCGCCACCTCCACCCGCGTCCCTGTGTCCCGCCGTGTCCCGCCGTATCTCCCGTGTCCCACCTCCGCCCGTCGTGTCCCGCCGTATCCCCCGTGTCCCACCTCCGCCCGTCGTGTCCCGCCGTATCTCCCGTGTCCCACCTCCGCCCGTCGTGTCCCACCGTATCCCCCGTGTCCCACCTCCGCCCGTCGTGTCCCGCCGTATCCCCCGTGTCCCACCTCCGCCCGTTGTGTCCCGCCGTATCCCCCGTGCGCCACCTCCACCCGCGTCCCCGTGTCCCGCCGTGTCCCGCCGTATCTCCCGTGTCCCACTTCCGCCCATCGTGTCCCGCCGTATCCCCCGTGTCCCACCTCCGCCCGTCGTGTCCCGGCGTATATCCCCCGTGCGCCACCTCCACCCGCGTCCCCGTGTCCCGCCGTATCCCCCCGTGTCCCACCTCCGCCCGCCTCGCTTCCCGCCGCGCCGCCGCCGCCGCCGCCGCCGTCGCCATGGCGACTCCGCCCGCCGCGCCCGCAGCGCCCGCAGCGCCCGCACGGCCCGACCGCGCGCGCCCCCTGGCGGCCGGGAGGAGCCAGCGCCCCGCCCCGCCCCGCCCCGCCCCGCCCCGCCCCGCCCCGCCGTGACGGTACTTCCGGGTGCGGACGTGGCGCGGCGCCGCCATCTTGCGGGGCCGCCCGGGAACCGGAGTGAGCGGAGGGCCCGAGTGCGGATCCCGCCGCCGCTGCCGCTGCTATGGTAAGGGAAGGACCTGTCCGCCGCGGGCAGCGCAGGGCTCGGGACAGCCCCCGGGGCATCCCCGGGGCTCGCCCGGCCGCCCGGCCTGTGCGCAGGCCGGCACTGGAGCCCGCGGCCTGGTGGGACCGAGCGCGGCGCTGCCGGGTCGGGCCGGGGCCTCTGGGGGCGGCGGGGACGCGGCACTTTTTCTCTGGTGACTTGGAGCTACGGTGCCTCCTGAGCACGGCCTCACGCCTGCTGTAACGGGCGTTCGGGCTGTAAGGTGTAACCGGGCCGGTGGTGCCCTCCCGCTCCCCCGTGGCACCCTGTGTCTCAGGGCCGGTCCGGCTCCTTTTGTCTGTCACGGCGGTGTTTGGGTTAGCACAGACCCGCACACAGCTCCGGCAGAGCTAAACTGTGCCCGAGGTGCGGCAGGGATCAGCGCTGCCACGTTTGAGGATTTCGGATCCTTTCTGTCAGTAACAGCAGTTGCGGATTTAAAAGATCGGAAGCCCGGAACAGAATTACCCTGACAAAAGGAATTAACATCTGTGAGAGAGAAATATAGGGAGGAAGTCTGGGCAGACTGGGAGATTGAGAAAGTGCAGCTGGTGAGTGCCTTGCTGCCCTGTCGGTGTGCTAACGCCTGCGAGCTACCTGGGAGTCAACCCGGGGCTTCGTTAAGCTGGCTGTGCTGTGCGTATGGCGCTGGGAGATGTTATATCTCACAGCGGTCCTGTGTGTAGTTGTAAGCTGGGGCAGCTGAGGGAAAAGTCGATAATCCGGAGCCTCCCCTAACGCTCCCAGGGGCTGTACACCTCGGTCTGTGTGAAATCAGGAATGATCGTTTGCCTGACAGAAGCAGGGAGAGCTCTCAGGATTGTTTTGGGACAGAATGTAGATCAGAGAGATGTCTCAGGATCAGCAGGATGTCTTTGCTCTTGACATAGTTCATTTCCTGGTCACAGAGGAAGACTTAGGATCTTGTCTAAGGAGGGGTGTGCAGGTGAAGTGTGGTGGTCAGAGATGCTTTCCGTGGGCACGGGCGGGGCCCTGCTGACGCGCTGCTCTTCTCCAGGTGCTGTTGGCAGCTGCTGTGTGCACGAAGGCAGGGAAGGCCATCGTGTCCCGGCAGTTCGTGGAGATGACTCGCACCCGCATCGAGGGGCTGCTGGCGGCGTTCCCAAAGCTGATGAACACAGGGAAGCAGCACACGTTTGTGGAGACAGAGAGCGTGCGGTACGTGTACCAGCCCATGGAGAAGCTCTACATGGTGCTGATTACCACCAAAAACAGCAACATCCTGGAAGACCTGGAAACACTCCGACTCTTCTCTAGAGTGGTAAGCACTTGGCACTCTGTGATGTAGCCCAGAGCGGTGCTGTTGTGAGGGATCTGTTTCTGAGCTGGTGCAGGGGCACTGCATGCCTCCACTTGGTGGGTCTGTGTTCCAGAGCTTCCCTTTCTGACTGGACAGAAAGCTCTGAATTTTTGGTGGTAGTTTTGAACTCCACATTAAAAAAATCATCAGTTGTACTTCATGTGGTGAGACCAAAGGGCTCACCGTAATTTAGCATTAAATGTTCTTTGTACAGTGTGTCGTTGTTACAAGTGCAGTGCTGCTATGCAGGGATCCTGAAGCAGCAAGTTTGTGTCTTCACACAGCCAAAGGATTTTCAGGAAATTCACTGGTCCCAGCATGCAGTTGGGTTCCTTTGAGTTAGTGTTATGATGAAGCTGAGAGGTTTTATATGGATTTTGATGTAGAAGAACTAACAGTGTCAAAACTTCATCTTGTTTATTGACAACGTAATGGTACAAAGAGCAGCGTAAAGTTGTGCTGGGCTTGGGTCTGGCACAGTTGTGACCCCTGGGATGGTAGAAAGAAAGAGTTTACATGGTACTGTTTGTGGGTACTCCTTTAAAATGTTCTCCCCTTCTAGATCCCTGAATATTGTCGAGCTCTGGAAGAGAATGAGATCTCAGAACACTGCTTCGACCTAATCTTTGCCTTTGATGAAATTGTTGCCCTGGGCTACCGTGAGAACGTAAATCTGGCACAAATTCGGACCTTCACTGAGATGGACTCACATGAGGAAAAGGTGTTTCGGGCAGTCAGAGAGGTGAGCAGGGACACCTGCAGTCCTGACACAGGGTGCCCTATCTGCGAAGCACCGCTTCTGCTATACGGAGTGTTGGAGGGGCCGTGCAATTAATTAGCATTTCTGAGGGCTAAATGCTCATGTCTTCTTTTTTCTTGGCCAGGGGTTTTTGGGCAACTGCACTTAGCTCCTGTGCAGGGCAGAGCTGAGGTTGCAAAGCTCCATCAGGCTCTTCTCTTTTCCTCCAGACGCAAGAACGCGAGGCAAAAGCCGAGATGCGCCGTAAAGCGAAGGAGCTGCAGCAGGCCAGGAGGGATGCGGAGAGACACGGCAAGAAGGCACCAGGCTTTGGGGGCTTTGGCAGCTCGGCTGTGTCTGGGGGCGTGACAGCAATGATCACAGAGACCATCATCGAGACCGAGAAGCCCAAAGTGGCACCAGCTCCAGCCAGGTAGGGAGGAAGGCAGGTGGCAGATGTTGGAGTCAGTGTTGGCTCAAACCACGTGCCCAGAGGGTCTAACATGAGTTCCTCATCTGTGTAAGTATTGAGGACCATTTGTGCCACGTACCACAGTAGCACCCCATAGTCTCTTTGGATTCTTGGATGAACAATGGGCTTTCATTTTGTGTGAGAAAAAGAGGTCCCAGCTCCTGGTAATATGTGGAACTATATCTGAATCTAAATTATAACTTAGCACCCCAGAAAAGCTGCCAAGTTGAATGGTATGTTGTTGGGATGGTCAAGTTACAGCATTTGAAGGTAACTGGGAAGGGGGAACCCATTGCTGTCAGCTGACTTGGAGATTATTACGCATTTTATTCAGGCCTTCAGGTCCCAGTAAAGCCTTGAAACTCGGCGCTAAAGGGAAGGAGGTGGACAACTTCGTGGACAAGCTGAAATCAGAAGGAGAAAATATCATGACTTCTGTAGGCAAGCGCTCTGCAGAAGCAGCCAAAGTTCTCACTTCTCCCATTAACATGGAGAGGTGAGTGCTGTCCTTGCTTTGGAAGCAGTCTCCTCACAGCTCTCCCTCTGCATGTGGCCTTGGGAGAGAGCAGCTTCTTTGCTCTTCTTTGGCTTTTTCCTGTATTTTCTTACCTTGTAATTATAACAGTTGGGCAAAATCTGTGAAAGCATGTCAGCAAAAAAAGCAGATAGTTTGGTTAGGCATCCTCTTAACTAAAATGGGCTGTCCATCCATTGTTGAGCTGGGGTTGGGAATTTTCCTGTGCTTTTTTCCCTGCGCCATTTTCGCTGTTTCCCAGCCTTGTTACTGCTCAGGATGGAAATGTTCACAGTTCATTTTACACACAGCAATTAAAAACCTTTTAATGCCCTGAGCTGTGCACTGTGGCCTGTCAGAGGAGATTTGAGTGACCAGCTTGTCAAGATGCTGCATCACTACCATTTAACTGGGCTCCCATCCCTTGCAGACCCATATGCATGGATCCTCCTGCCTCTGAGTTCACTGTCAGAGCAGTATTAGCCCCCACTGTACCAGCCTTGCTGTTGTTTGGGAGCTCCTGCTCAGTACAGCCTGTCCTTACTGAGCAGTGATCTCTGTTGTCTGGGGGATACCAAGAGCGTAGGACTTGAGCTTTTTCCTCTGCCTGTCTAGCGTGCACATGAAAATAGAGGAGAAGATCTCCTTGACTTGTGGCCGTGACGGAGGGTTGCAGAACATGGAGCTTCATGGCATGATCATGCTGCACATCTCTGATGAAAAGTTTGCACGGATTCGCCTGCATGTAGAAAATGAAGACAAGAGGGGAGTACAGCTACAGGTAAAGCCTATTTGGAGTCCCATGCTGTTGAATATGTTTTTGCTTCTTTCCAGGGGAAAAATAATGGAAATACTCAAGTATCTTGCTGTCCTGTGTTCTCATCTAAGCCTTCTCAGCAAATATATTGGAAATGGGAGTAGTCAGTGCAAGTATTAGCAGAAGTGCAGGGCCAATCATGCTCAAGGGATTGAAGTTCACAGGAGAAATGCAATCTTGGTCACCATCTTGCCCTCAGAGCCTTATCTGCCCAGCAGTGCACCCTGGCGTGCCAGGTGACCTCACTTGGACTTTGCAGCAGCCTGATGTGTTGCTCAGTGCCTGTTGGGTGATGTCAGCTGCAGCTGTGGAGTGGAAATGGGATAACAAACTTCCTGTGCTAGTGGGGAATTGATGTATTCTTTTGGAAGTTGTTTCTTTCTGAGGTTGCTTGTCCTGTCACTGCTGTGCCTGGGATGCTTGAGGGCAGTCAGCAGTTGCAGCTCAGAAGGTTCTTGGGAGATTGGTCCTTCCCTTTCTCCCTCCTCCTGTGACCCTACGGATCCCTGGAGGAGGTGCTGCTTTGGCACACTCTGGCTCGCTCCTTGTTAGGGACTCCTCCGTACATCATCTGTCTGCAAGTCCACTTCCTTCCAGTGCATCCATGAGTGGGCTGCTCACAGCACTGCCACAGGTGGTGCTTCAGGTGGAAGATGAGACCAAGCCCTTTGCTGACTCCTGTCTTTCTAGTACAACTTGAACAGGAACTTGCAAAAATCCTCTGCTTCTAAAAAGCTGCTCGCACTTGAGGTTGTGAAGAGAGTGTTTAAATGTAGTTTGGACACTGACATATACGTGCATTAAGGTTGCTGAGGGGAGACAGTAGTGTTATGGTGTCAGGCGGTTTTTCCTAATGGCATTAGATTGATTTTTCTTGAAATGTCTGCTGTAATCATTCAGGATGGTCTTTGTCTTATAGTTGTTCTGTAGATACCAGCCTGCATCGCTTGAGTATCTGCTGCTGGTGCTTGTAAGAAATACAGTGGTGGGGATCTTTCTTGTCAGATTAGCATTTTCTGGAAGGACTCCCAGGTTGATAAGCAGTTGTGCTTCAGATGGGCTTCTGAGCCAGCAGGAAACCTGATGTGTGTTTTGTCAAAGCAAACACTGGAATGTGTAGGCCTGTCCTGGTAGAACCTGCATTACCTATTGTTCTGTCCCTGGGCTTAGACCTATAGTCTGGGCATGTGTTCTCTTGCAGACTCACCCAAACGTGGACAAGAAGCTCTTTACCACAGAGTCACAGATCGGTTTGAAGAACCCAGAGAAGTCATTCCCTATTAACAGCGATGTGGGCGTGCTGAAGTGGAGGTTGCAGACCACAGAAGAGTCCTTCATTCCATTGACAAGTGAGTGCAAGTCTGGGGGCTTGGGCAGAAGAAGTTGGTGATTGTCCATGAGCTGCTGGTACCCACCTTGCAGCAGCTGGGCTGCCTGGAGCCTGGCATGTCGTGAGACCTTGGAGATACTATGTGTATCTGTTGGATAGTGCCTGTCCTTGGCAGTGTGTGTTTTCTGGAACACCTCAGTGAAAATAGAGACCTTTTCTTAAAGTCAGCTTGAGGGTGACTTCACTGGGCATTTTGAAGTGCATCATCTTATGAAAGCCTATTCCACTTGAAAGGCCTGCATGGTTCACCTACTGTCTCTGTTTCCTCAGTTAACTGCTGGCCATCAGAGAGTGGGAACAGTTGTGATGTTAACATTGAATATGAGTTGCAAGAGGAGAGCCTAGAGCTGAACGATGTGATCATCACCATCCCCCTGCCGTAAGTCATGCTCCTTATCACACAGCACTAATAAGTCCCATCACCTCCTTCCCCTCCCTGTTTTGTGGATCTGGCCAAGCCAATGTGTGCTAAAAGGCATTTCCTTAGCTCTGTGCAGGGAAGTTATTGTCACTTCTCATTGCCTGCTCTAGGTCTGGTGTTGGTGCCCCAGTGATTGGGGAGATTGATGGTGAGTATCGCCACGACAGCCGGAGAAACCTCCTTGAGTGGTGCCTGCCAGTGATAGATGCCAAAAACAAGAGCGGTAGCCTGGAGTTCAGCATAGCAGGGCAGCCAAACGACTTCTTCCCTGTGCAGGTCTCCTTTGTCTCCAAAAAGAACTATTGCAACATACAGGTATGGTCTGCATGTGCTCACACAGGTGGGAAGTCACCCTTGCCTCGGTCCCTGGCTGGCTGACACTGGCCGTGCTGCAGGGGCACCATGCTGTCCCACTGGCCATGGCTGAAGGGTTGGCTTTAACCTGCCTCTGAGACTGCTGGATTTGGGAGTGCCAGCAGACAACACTGGCAGCTGACACTTCATGGAGTTTGCCTGAAGTTTCAGTTGTGTCTTCAAGTCTCTGAGTAGTCGTTAATTCCCATCAGACTTTGTTGGAAAATTCATCAGCCTTGTAGCCGAAACACTGCTTGGCATACGGCTGTCTGTCTCCACTGAAGTGTAGCAGTGGCTGCCACTTCGCTCCTCAGCGGAGACACAGTTACCACAGAAAATCACTCCCCTCTTTCAGGGATCCTGGGAACAAAGGCCTTTGTTTCAGGCCTGAGCTGTGGTTAGAGGGCAACAGGTCGGTTGTACTATCATGGTGTTGGGAAGCATGGCATCGCTGCAGTAAGGGAGTGATGTTCAGCGCTGAGCTCATGTTGCCTCTTGTCTCCACAGGTTACCAAAGTGACCCAGGTAGACGGGAACAGCCCTGTAAGGTTTTCTACTGAAACCACCTTCCTGGTGGACAAGTACGAAATCCTGTAATGCCAGACATGGTGACGCACAATGGAAGAAATTTTTAAATTAAAAAAAACAAGGCCGACGTTTATTCTGAATGTTGGGAACGCCACAGCCCCCTCTGCTAAGATGTGTGGCTCTGTCTGCCATCTACAGTGTTCCGGGGTCACAGACATTTTTTGCAGAGAAGTGATGTGCTCATGGGGGAAAAGGCCACAAATTTCTTTGGCAGATTTTTACCGACTGGCAAAAAAAGCAAGATCTCCGCAAAGAGCCTCACTTTGACATGCTCCCCCCCACCCCGAGATGCTCGGAGCTCAGCCCAGAGCCGACCAGACATCACTCTCTCCTGAAGCATCACGTGCTGTTCCGTTGTTGGTGCTGCCATTTTAATTTCTCCTTGGCCTCTGGTTCTCATGTGTGGGGCCACCTGCAGGTCCTGACCCTTTCATCTGGTGGAAGCTGAGCAAGCGACCTTGGCCTCAGAGGTGGGGGGCTCATAGCAGGGGTGAGGAAGAGGGACCCGGGGGTTCAGTCCTTTTGCCCCACACAGTTACTGCTGTTCCTCCAGCTCCGCTGTGTGGCAGTGGCCCAGCTCTAGGTGGTCTGGTTCCTGCTGCAGCGGGGAGAACATCCAAATGGGACTGTGTCCTTACTGTCTTCCACAGCTGTTCTCAGGCCAGGCTTTGGAGGAAGTTTAGTTAGGTTAGAACCAGCTGTATATCCTTTGCAAGGCCATTTTGGTGTCTGGGGAGGCTGAGGGCTTTGTCTGCCTGGGTGAAAGGAGCTGTGGAGCCTGGTTGACTTACTTGGCCTGCATATCAGGACCTGTCTTAAGTCAGTGTTGGTTCAGCACTGGCAGGTGTGGGAGAAGGAAATGCTGGTTTCCAGGTAATGCAGGGGCTGATCCGAGCCATTTCTCCTACTGCTGCCTCACGAGCGTTATTTGCTTCATCTCAGAGACCTGTGCTCCCCTCACAACTCATCTCACCTGCATGGCTGGGGCCTGTCACGAGTGTCACCTGCCCCTGGGCACACCTCACCTCTGCAGCCAGAGGGCCCAAGTGCAGGTGGAAGGTAAGGGCCCTAAAAGTGCGTGTACTGTGCTCTGTGAGAGACAGCCAGCCTGTCACGGGCCCCTGGGGTCCTCTGCCAAAGAAGTTTGTGGTCTCTCCTCTGCTGGCAGCACCTGAGAGGAAATCAACCCTGGTCCTATCCTGAGAGGGCTAGCTCTCTCCCTAAGCAAAGTAGGCAATGAATCCCATTAACCCAGTCCTGTTCCAGAGCTGCTTGTCTGTATGATTTTTAAAATGGAGTCTGAGTTAGTTCAAGCATCCAAGGAGCTTTTTTTTTTTTCCTTACATTCATTGGAGGGTGATATTTAAACCGAGCCGAGGTCCCCACTTTTTGTAACCCTGTATGATCCTGGCCTAGGGAATAGAGCACATTCCAGTGTACACAGAGAATTCTGAGTCTTTAATCAAATAAAGTACTGTTAAAGGAGTTGGCTGGGGTCGTGAGGTCCTTCCGGAGCCAGGACCGGTCAGCCCCGGCCCCTGGCCGTGCGGGGGCGGGACGCGCCGCCGCTGCTTGGGGCGGGGACACGGCGAGGCCGGCGGTGCTGCACGGTGGAGCGGCGGCGGAGCACGGGCAGGGCTGTCACAGCAGGGGCGTGAAGGTGAGCGGAGCTGGCAGGGGCTGGGACACTCTCAGTTGGTGCCCCAGCGACCGCTGCCCTTGGGGAGCCTGTGGGGCTGGGGTCAGCGTGTCCTGTAACATGCGAGGATTGCCTGGTGCTTCAGAGGTGGTTTTGGGACGTGGTGAGGGCTGGAGAAAGCTCGGCTGCCTTGGCCCGTGTTGGGGCTAGGTGTGGGACGTGTTGGGGCTCCATGCTCTCTGGGGTGCCTTAGGAGGGGTGCAAGGAAGGAGCTGCAGACAGGGAAGTAAGAAAAACACGGTCAGCCATAAAACCAATCGTTGCACAATGTTTTGGTGGTGTGTGGGTGGGCTGGGAGTTGGTTCCGGATCCAGTGGTCCACGTCAGTGGTGAGTTTGCTGCTGTGGGAACCCTGAGAGCAGCTTGGTGTTGGAAGGCAGCCAGACAAGGTTCTCCTATCCCCAAATCCTGCTGCAGCTCATGGGCAGTCACAGGAGGAGATGGTGTTTGGCCCATGGCCACCGCTGCTGCCTCTGACACCTCTTGGGGAGCCTGGGAACAGTGCTGGTCTGGCTGGATCCTTCCTGCTCCATGGCTGGCCATGTTTACTCCAACTTCCTGCCGCACTCCTGCCACAGCCTCTTCAGCTGCTGTCAGAAAGCCAGAGGAATCTGGCAGTCCCAGAAGGTCCAGCTGCTGTGCTGAAGGGCCACTGTCTCTCCCAGCCCTCTCTGAGCACTAGGCAGGGGCTGCAGGGACAAGTCCCCTGGCTGAGCACCACAGGCAGTAGCCAGGCTGGGTACTTTTTGAGAACTCCTTGTACATTTGGGTTTACATGTGGGAGGATGGATTGTAGGAGAATAGAGATAGTGCTTGAAGGTAATCTCACTCCTGGGGAGTAGCAGCTGTACTAATTACCAAAGAGTAGGAACAGCCCTGCCCTTAATAGGGCACAGCTGTGTCCAATAAGGATGGGTGTTATAAAAGAGTGGGTTAGGAGAGCTGGAGTTTGTTGGCTGTGCTGCGAGGAAGAAGGGTCAGCTGGTCATGTAGAAGAAAGAAAAAAGGAGTTAGTGTTGCAAGAAGCTGCCCGTGGGAGCTCCCAGAGAGAAGGCAGGTAAGTTTTACAGTAAGATAACAAACTAATGGTGACAGTTTCCATCCACCATGGATTGGTGCCAAGCACCAACACCAACAATTCATGGCCTGTACAGGGATTGATCCCGACAGGTACAGGTAGGGCACCACGCAGGGGGATGGAACCACAGTATTGCACAGCAAGGGATCCTTCTGGCAACCAGAAAGAGGAAAGTGATCAATGCCTGCTTTGGAAAGGTGAGGTTCACCCCACCCCTTTACCAGCTAACAAAGGGCTGGGTGATTGGTTCATGCCAGGGGCTGGATTCAAGACCCATCAGACCCATCCTGTGTCATGGTCCCCAAGACGTTGTCAGTGGGAGTTGCAGATGTTCCTTGCTGAGCTGAACCTCTGGCCTGCAGGTGAGAAATTGTCATTTTGATATGAGAGCATTTTGAGGAGCAGCTCTCCGTTGTGCAGTCTTGTGAGGGGTCTGGAGCTTGCATCTGTGCTGTAATGTCTGGAGGCATGTGCTGATGGTGGGGTCAGTGCTTGAGCTGCAGCAGTGGTGGGGTCTGTGTATGCCTCAGCAGCCCTTGGAGCTGGCTGGCCTCGGGGAGTGCAGGCTGCTGTAGGCAGGGCTGCACACCCTCCCCAGCCTGAGCACATGGTGAGCATCCACCAGTCTGTGGAGACCTGAGCACATGGTGAGCATCCACCAGTCTGTGGAGACCTGAGCACATGGTGAGCATCCACCAGTCTGAGACCTGAGGCATGATGCCGGCAGGGCCGGGGCTGGAGCACAGCTGTGCTGCATGTGCTGCCGTGGGGCAGGAGCACTTCTCTGGAGCGATGAAATCAGCGGGTGTGGCCAGGATTCCTCAGCTCCCGGCGGAGCTGTCTGGTGGCTGATTTATGGTGGTGTTATTGCCAGGACCATGGCGTTGTCCCAGCAACCGCAGTGCAGCCCCCACTGTCCCTCGCCTGGGTGGGATGGGGCTGGCTGGGTCTCCCCCACTCAGTTGTCAGCCCCAGACCGGGAGGTAGAGGCCAGGAACAGGCTCCTCATTCGCCTCTGGCTTCGTGCAGGAGACAGGCTCCCCCTTCCCAGCGGAAGGGCTGGTTGTTTACTAGGGCAGAGGGTGTGGGAAGGGGTGAGCGCACCCTGAGTGCCTTAGCAGATGGGGAGCAAGCAGGCAGCCAAGTTGGCTGGAGGCTGCGATGCTCTCCTGTGAGCACCCTTAGCTCGGCCACTCAGGCTTCCTCCGTGACTCATCCAGCCAGCCCCAAGTGGGGATGAGAGGCCGTGCAAGGGGATGCCATGTGCCTGTCTCTGCCATGCTGTTGCTTCATCCCAGCATGGCTGGTACTGCATGGCGTGGCTTGCCAGTCTGTGCTCCTGTGAGCACAGTCTGAATGTCCCTGCCCTGGCTGTGGCACACAGTGCAGCTCTGGGCCCAGCTGGTACCTGCTGTGGGGTGAGTCAGGATGTGCTGTGCCCAGCTTAGGTCTGGGTGGGCAACAGCAGGTCAGGCAGGAGTGGGCCCCCCGAGCACCCCTGCCCTCGTGGCTTGGGGCAGGCAGGCAGATTGCAGCCCGTGGGCAGCAGGATGCAGGGGGGAGCACGCTGGGGCAGCGTGTCTGTGTGCAGCTGGCTCTGCATCGGTGAGGCTGGGCATCCTCCCAGGTGAGGCTTTTGGCCGTGCCAGGTGAAGAAAGGGGCTTTTGTCTTCCAGGAGGCCGGGGCTGAGTAGGCAGCCCTGCGCGGGGTGCACGAGGGCCGTGGGCTGTTCGGCGGTAACCGAGCCCGACCCCTTGGCATTTGCTGCCTCCACCGCTTCCCACGGCGGGAACAAGCGGCGCGTTCTGCAGGCGGCGGCGGGAGAAGAAAGGCCGCCTTGTCCGTGCGAGCAGTGGGGCGCCGGCTGGGGCGGCCGCGCTCCCGCCCCGCATTCCTGCAGCAGAGCGGCTGGAGAGGGGCTGCATCCCCAGCAGCACGGGCTGGGCTGACGCGGGCGTTCCCTGGGTGCTGACGAGACAGGTGAGGGGCTCTGTTGGAGGGCAGCGTTGCGGGACTGGGGACGTTGGGAACCGATGGGATGCCAGGGTCACCCCTCCAGCTCATGGGCGGGCAGGGCTGCTTGTGAAGTGGGGGGTATTGGGTGGAGAGTTTGAGCAGCAGGCAGCAGAATCGGAGACGATCCCCCAGGTGGCCGGGATGGGGGTCCTCCATGGTTCTCGCCGGGTCCCACCAGTACAACCATGCTGGGAAGGAGTTAACACCGACACAAGATCCCACCCTGGCCCCGCTCCCTTCCTCTGCAGCAGCCTGGCCCCTCCTGGCTTTTCCCCTTCCTGAACATTGTGACGGGACGTAGGTGTAAGTGAGGGGCAGGGGCTCGGCAGGGCCGCGGGGTCTCCAGATGCTGGGAAGTGCGGCACCCCAGTGCCTGGGGAACATGGGCACCCTGCCACGGAGGGTCCCGCTCGGCACCAGGACCAGGCGGCAGGTAAGGGAGAGCAGGGATCCTGCCTCGGCAGCCGGCGAGCACTCGGGAACTGCTCTGGGGGTACCTTATCTCTAGGCACCCCCTTCCCCTAGCTGAGCTGTCCCCATCCCACGTGGTGTGGCTGTAGTCCCCACGGAGCCCTTGCTGTGGGGCCAGTCCTGCTGTTGCAGGAGGCGCCCGGGTTTCATCCAGGTCCTGCATCCCACGCCTGGTGTTTTCCAGCGTTTCATTTTTTCCAGAGTGTGTAATAACCGTTCGCTCGCCCCCGCAGCTGAGCCCGGTGCTGGACGAGCGGGGGGGACCCTCCAGGGGCTGGCTGGACGGGCGGCGATGCTGGCGAGAGCCGAGCCCGGGGCTCCTCCTGGCGGCCCCGGCCCCGGCGTCTCCTAACGGGGATGGAGCACTATCCCATCTACACTGCCCGGGAAGGGTTAAGCCCAGTCAGCTAGTCCAGGGCGGAAGGGAGGGACGTAGGGAGCAGCAGACGGTAAATTTAGATCCTCGGAGCGTCCCGACATGGCGTGAGTGCCGGGTGACGGAAATTGTTCCTCCTCGAGTTGCCTCCCACTCACGCAGAGAATGTGTGGCAGCATGGCCGTTCCATGGGTGGTGGCCCTGCCTGCTGGCCACATGGGCAAGGGTATGAAACACTCGGCATGTGCACTATGAGCTGCTGCTGGACGGTGGGAGCAGAGGCATGTGCCTGGGCACTGGTGGCATGGACAGGGGTGCCCAGGTGTGCCACACACGGCAGGCAGGTGTTGCTGGGGACAGCCAGAACCTGTGCTTGCTTGTGTGTGCTTTTCCAATGACAGCCATTGGGGTCTGGCTGCCCACAGCTCTTGGCATTTAAAGCATGCATTTCCAACACCATGCCCCCAAAACTGAGTGCATGTGTAGTTTTCCTTCCCGGACTGTGTCTTGTCCTGATGCCTGGCACATGCATGAGTCTCCCCAGGTGGATGGGGATGTGTGCCTAGGTAGGATTCATGCCTTGGCAGGCAGGGATGCTCACTGGCTTCAGGCAGCTGCTGACATGATGAAGACCGGAGCTCAGGATGGCAAATGCTGGTTTGGAATGTGTAGGGTTTGTGCTCAGGCTGCTGTCCAGGATGTGCAGGAAAAATACATCAAGGCCATGTCCAGTGTGGTCACTTGTTCTGCCATTCTGTTTCTTCTGGCAGCCTGTGTCCGGTACCATCCGACGCCTCCAGGAAGGCAACATGGAGGCATCTGGCAGGACCCCCACCAGCCCAACCCGCAGAGTCCAGACTGTCATCCAGGTGAGCACGCAGCATCACAGGACCTCTGCTCTGTGGGAACAGGGGAATCTGACTGGGATTCCTCTGCAGCCAGCCCCACCACTGGCGCCGCCCTCCAGCCTCTCCCCAGTCTCAGCCAATCCTATTATGGGATCCTCAGCAAAGCCCATTGAGCTAAGCGGCTGGCAGTTGGATCCTCTTAGATGCAGCCCATGCCCCATAGATCTCCAGCTTGCCTCAGCTTCCCGGGATAGGTAGTACAGGCAGGAGAGCCCTACTTTCCTGTGTCTTGCCGCTGGACAGTCCTGCTGGCATGTGTCTGGCATTGATCCTGGTTATGTGGCTGTTTCGGAGCAGCTCAGCCAGGTGGGCAGTGCAGGGGACTGGGCTGCAGCTGCAGGAGCTGTGAGCATCCCTCCTTCTCCTACAGAACAGTCCCCTGGACCTGATTGACACGGGCAAGGGGCTGAAAGTGCAGACAGAGAAGCCACATTTGGTGAGCCTGGGCAGCGGTCGGCTCAGCACTGCCGTCACACTCCTGCCGCTGGAGGAAGGTGAGTGCCAGGGCGTCTCCACGGGCACGCTGGTGACAGAGACACTGAGATACCGTCTCTGCTGGCAGGGAGGACCACCATTGGCACGGCTGGGACCGACATCGTCCTGCAGGGCGCCGGGCTGGCGCCCCAGCACTGCTACATCGAGAATGTGCGAGGGACACTCACCCTGCACCCCTGTGGCAACGCCTGTGCCATCGACGGCGTGCCGCTGCAGCGGCCCACGCACCTCACCCAAGGTAGGAGCTGTGCTCACCGGAGCCTTTGCCTGTGGAGTTGTGCAGTTGAGTATTGGGGTATTTGAGGAGCCATCCTGTAACTGCATATCCCAGCTAGCATCCTTCTGGCCTCTATGCTCTGCGGTGGGAACCTGCCGGGTCCTGGCAGAGTTTGGGAGCTGGCTTTCTGCGTATGTCAAGTGAGGTGGGAAGGGAGAGACCCGGGTGGGCTTTGAAGAACAGCGGAGATGCTGAGCCAACTTTGGGAAGGGAGATGACAGAGGAAAACACCTCGGGTGTCCTCCCGGATGGCTGCCGGGACAGTGCTGGTCTGCCTGCGTGGCTACGGGGCTCGGACCCGGCCGGCCCCCAGGGCCGCTCCCGGGAGCGTGGACAAAGCCGCAGGCTCTTCCCACGCGATCCCCGCCCCTGCCCGGCTCCCGAGTCGCTTCCCGGGGAGGACCCTCGGGCGGGGCGGGCGAGGCCCGGCCCCCCGCCCCTCCCCGGGGGCGGCGCGGCGCTGCCCGGGCGGTGGCGGCGGCGGTGGCGGTGTCGAGGTGAGTGCGGTGCTGCGGCCACGCGTGTCCGCGCCGGGCGGGGCTCGCTCCCGTTCCTCCGGGGTCACGGAGCCGCAGCGCTCCGCAGGCGGTGGCGCTGCGCTCCCCCGCGCCTGCCCCCGTGGCTCCGGGAAGGGGGGACCCACCCGCGTGGGCGCTGCCCCGCGGGGACAATGGGAGCCACGTGGCCGCGGGGAAGGCTCCGGCGCGACGCCCGCGGGGTGCTGGGGTCCCGCCGGTGCCACAGCAGGCTGCGAGGGGCGGGCAGGGCTCAGCCGAACCGCCCATCCTCCTGTCCCCGGGGGCAGGCAGGGACATGATAGAGCAGGGACAGCATCTGTGCAGGGCCCCAGCGGAATGGACTGCGGGGCTGTCAGGCCGACGCTTGTGGTGCAGTTTGGTGTTTATTCGCTTTGCCGGGGCGACCTGTGGCTCCACTGATGCCGGCACGAGGGGAAGGAAGGCACAGGGCAGTGATGCATCTCTCCGGGACAGCCGCTGCCACGCTGGGCGTCGGCACTGCTCTCTCGCGGGCGGGCTGCCCTCGTTGGGCCGGGGTGAGCAGGACTCCGTCCCGCCCTGGCGCTCAGACAGGGGGGCCAGGCCCCCGGACGGCGACAGCAGTTAGCCTGTAGTGCCTCTCGCTCTTGCTGAGAGCTGGGCTGACGGGTGCTTCAAAAAACACGTCCCCTCCGGCGAGGGATTTTCAGCAGCGGCTGTTGGTATGGAGCGAGCCTCTCCCCAGAGCCCTGGCAGGCGCTTCAAAGTGGGGTGTGTCGGCAGCAGCCCGCCTCCTCGCCGCCTGATGCTCCCCGCTGCCAGCACATGCCTCCCCAGCACCGCGGGCAGCAGGTGAACCACGGCGAGCGCCCGCGGCTCCGCTCCCTTTCCCTTCCTCAGGTGCCTTCCTCCTCGGGGCTGCTCGGCAGCCTTGCCCCAAGAGGGCTGCTGCTTTGGGCCAAGAAGAGACGCTTTGCAAGCAGGGACAGGAGCTGTCTTGTCTGCAGCTGGCAGCCACGCAAGCCCTGGAGTGCCGCCAGCTCCCCTGCGGCCCCCGGCGGGGACCCCAGCTGTGCCTGCTCTGGGATGCGCTGCCGGCAGCTGCTGTGCTGACCTGGATTTCAGCCTCCCCTAAGCCTCTGCTGACAGCAGGAGCCCTCTCCCTTCCCGAGGGCGGCGCATCTTGGGGCGAGCAATGCCCGACTGCCTCCCTGCACTCTCTGGAACCACTCTGATATTGCCGGCTAGCAGCTGAGCCCTCTCTCCTCTCTCCCAAGGGTGCACCATCTGCCTGGGCCAGGCCACCTTCCTCCGCTTCAACCACCCTGCTGAGGCCAAGTGGATTAAGAGCATGATCCCCGCGGGGGGCAGGAACCCATCGGCTCTCTATGGGTTACCAGCAAGTAGGTGACCCCCCCTTGTCCCTGGTGGGGCAGGGCAGATGCTGAAGTCCTCCCTGACCCATCAGCCTTCCCAGTGCCCAATGCTCTCCCAGCCCTGTCCTGTTGCACTCAGGCTCACACCCAGCTGTGCTGTGCCATCCATCAGCTCAGCACGGTATGGCAGCTGCACTGGTATTTGTTAATGATTAATATCCCCTCAAAGAGGTTGACTGTGGGGGCACTGAGGCATGGCTTTCACTTCTGCCCAGCCTGGCCATGGCAGAGCCATCGCCCGTCGGAGCCCCCCCATTGCTTGGAGGCGGGTGTTTATGTGCTGGGGCTGTGAAGGCCATTCTTCTGGCTGCTGCCCTTCATCTCATGAGCTTATCTTGCTGTGTCTGCCTGTCCGTGGAGCAGTGGGCCAGGAGCCAGTACTGTGCCTGGTTCCTGGGGATGTCCAAATCTCCAGCACTGATCCCTGGGCTGGTAGCCCTTATCCCTGCCCCAACCAGCACGCCCTGGCACAGGGAGAGGAGCTTGGCTGCCTTCCCGTGCCACGTGTGTGTTGGGAAGGCAGCATGCCTGCAGCTGGGGACGGGAGGAGGGGCACAGGGAGGTGCTGTGGCCGAGGAGCATCATGCAACCAAGGAGCATCCCGTGTGGGCCCTGCGTGCTCACTCTCTGCCACGCAGGACAGGGTGGGATCACGCTGACAGGGCTGTGGCACATCTTCCCAGGATGAAGGCAGTGCCAGCTGCCGTGGGGAGCTGCTGGGTGCCAGGGGGTGACGCAGCCCGGGTGGCACGCTGTCCTGGCTGGGCTCCACGCTGCTGCCATTTGCTGGTCCCCTGAGTGACAGGCACATCGGTGCTGCGCAGGGAGCACGGGGCAGCCCAGGCAGGGGCACCCTGGCTGGGGTGTGGGGAGGCTGTGGGCGACCTGGTGGTGGGTCTGGACAGGCTGCAGGTCAGCAGCTTTTGGCTATTGCATCTCTGGCCCCTTGCTGGGAAGCCAGAGTGTGCAGGGGGCAAGTGGTGGGTGCCAGTGGGGGCTGAGGGCAGCTGCTCTCCAGGGAGTGGAGCAGGGAGCTTCGACGCAGGGAGGGTGGCTGTCCTCTCAGGTTTCTGTCTCCCGGGTGATGGGACTAGCAGGATTCCAGCCTCCTCCCTGTCCTGCTGGAGGGGGAAAGGGGGCAGCGGGGTGCAGCAGAGAGGGGCTGCTACCCAGCTCTGACTCTTACACCCAGGTGTAAGAATGATGCCAGGCTGCCCCATAGGACCCAGCGCAGGCAGGGGCTGCGGTGGAGTCACACCACCCTGATGCCTTCTCCTTTGTTTCCCTGCAGAATCCGAGGCCCTGGTGAATGGTGGCCACCAGCTGTCAGAGCGTGGGTGTCACAGCCACAGCTCCCTTGTCAGCTCCATAGAGAAGGACCTGCAGGACATCATGGACTCACTGGTGCTGGAGGAGTCCGCATCCCCTGGCATCCAGAAGCCGCCTGCCTGCGGCCGATCCCCCCTCTCCCCTGTGGTGAACGGGGGTGGCCGCTGCCTCCTGTCCCCTCCACCCAGCCCTGGGGCTGCCTCAGGGGGCTCCAGCTATGAGAACTTCTCTCCCCTCTCCTCCCCAGCCAGCAGCAGTAGCTACACCAGCCCCTCACTCAGCAGCCAAGAGCAAGGCCCAGCCGTGCCGCCCCCTCTCCCACTGCGCTCCTCCAGCTACAACCATACTGTCCAGCCCCCTGCTCTGCCTGCTGGGGGTTCTGGTGAGCCCTGGCCAGCTGAGAGGCTCGGGGACCACCGGGGGGGCAGCCCTCGGCTGACGCCCAGGGTGGCGCCGCGGCCACGGGTGGCCCTGCAGGAGCGGCCCCCCAGTCCCTTCCGGGAGCCACGGGACTCTCTGGCCCCCGGCCGGCAGCCCACCAGCAGGGCAGCCCCAGAGGCCCGGCTGCAGCCCCCCGAGAGCCCACGGCTTGCCCGGAGGAACCTTGAGAGCATGCGGGAGCTGCCTCCCCTGAGTCCCTCCTTGTCACGCCGGGCTGCCAGCCCCCGGCTGGCCCCTGACACCCCCTCCCCACAGCCCCGGCTGGGCAGGGAGGTGCCTGGCAGTCCCCGTGCCAGGCGCAAGGGCCCAGAGGAGTCGAAAGGTGCTGGGGGTCCTTCGCCCCCGCTGCTGTCAGAGAACCCCACGCGCCGTCCCAGTTTCAGTACTTGCCTGAGCCCCACGTATGGGCTGGGCTCCCCAGCTGTGCCCTCGCCCCGGCAGAGCCCCCGCGCCCCCAGGAAGCCTTTGGGGGACCCACGGCTGCCAGCAGGCTCACGGGAGCGCAAGAACAGCATCACTGAGATCAGTGACAACGAGGATGAACTGCTAGAGTACCATCGGCGGCAGCGGCAGGAGCGGGTTCGGGAGCAGGAGATGGAGCGCCTGGTGAGCCTTGGGGCTGGGAGGGGACACGTTTGACTGTGGGACACCCTCTTAGCAAATAGCTGTTGTTGTTTGCTGCTTTGAAACCTGGCCTTTGCCTCTTGGGGATTTGCCACAGCTGCCAGGCTGCCAGCTTATCCAAGGGGATTATGGCCAGGAGCAGCCATCGGTGCTCAGTAGCTCTCTGGGAATACAAAGCCCCCGGGTTACAGCAGCCTATGGAAGCTGGTAGGGCTAGCATGTCCCCAGGGCTACTGGCCAAAATGGTGGTGCCCCTTGCAAAACTCTCCACATCTTGTCCATCCCTGCCAGGGCCCATCTGCTGGTGGTGGTGCCGTGGCTCTGTGGACATTGCATCTATATTTAGGGCTGATGGAGTTTTTATGGGACTGGCATCTGCCTGGATGAGGTTTGCCGTGTCTCTGGCAGTCCTGCAGGCCGGGCTGAGCTGCCAGGGCTGTGTTTGCTCAGCCCTGACTCATGCCTGGCGCAGGCAGCCTGAGTCACTGCCTGGAAATAGCGGCGGCGCTCGGCAGCCGGCACTGCTGCCTGTCATTAGTCTGTCTCCAGCTCTAGCACATCGCGTGCCTGCCTCTGCTGTGGGGTCGAGCTGGCTGCATTGTGCTTTGTAATGTTGCCTGCCCACCCCACTGCGCAGGGCCGTATTCTGGTGGCCACCATTGGCACAGGGCTCTGTCTGCTCCTGCCACAGCACGTGCTGGATGGGGACCATTCTTTCTTACAGGAGCGGCAGCGCCTGGAGACCATCCTGAACCTCTGTGCTGAGTACACCAAGACAGACGGCACTGAGCCTGGTGACACGCACAGACTCCTGGCTGGTGACACGGATGCTGGCCAGTGGGTGCCCAGGGGTGCCATGGCTCTGGGCCACGCTGTTGAAGAGCTGCAGCAGAGGGAGAGTGTGGAGAGATCAGATGAGGAGAATCTGAAGGAGGAGTGCAGCAGCACTGAGAGTACCCACCACGAGGTAAGGGGACATCTGTGCTGTTCTGTTCCATGCCATGCTGCACAGTGCCATGCTAATCAGCCCCTTCCACAGCACGAGAAGCTGACAGGACCCCGGGCCAAGGAGGCACAGCGGCTGGAGGAGGAGCGTGCCGGTGTCCTCGGACGCCTGGACCAGCTGAAGGGTCGTGTCAAGGAGCTGGAGCAGCAGCTGCAGGAGACATCGCGAGAGGTGAGAGCTCAGGGGACACTGCTGGGTCCCCTGCTGCTTGCTGCCCTCACCAGTCAGCACTAAACCCTAAGGGTATGAGCTAGATCCAGCAGGAGCAGCAATCCTGACTGTGCTTTGTCTGTGCAGGCAGAGATGGAGCGGGCACTGCTGCAGGGTGAGCGGGAGTCAGAGGTGGTGCGGCTGCGGCAGGAGCAGGAGGCAGCGCAGCAGCTGCAGGAGAAGCTCTCCAGCCTGGACGCCAGCATCCGCAAGGAGCGGGACAAGGTGAGCCCTGTCACAGGTTCCCACTGTCACCAGCTGTGCCATACCCTCCCTGGCACTCACAGCCCGTGCTGCAATGTCTCATGCTGCAGCCTTCCCCTGCAGACATGTTCACCAGACCCTGGGCTCCGCAGAGGCTTTGGGGAGCAGCCCCTGTGGTTTGCATTGTAGGGGGATCTGTCTGTCTGTCTGTCTGTCTGGGCTTGGTCAAACAGCCCTGCTGGAGGAGAGCACAGCCAATGTTCAGGAAGCATTTCAGCTGCTGCCTGTTGCTCTGGCAGGGAGACTGGTGTGAGGCTTTCCAGAGGCTGCTGCCTGTGGTGGGCAGTGCCGGAGCAGAGGCCTTGGCTCTCCCCATTACCTGTCCTCGCTGGGGAACTGTGTCTTGCAGCAAGTCACCTCACTCTGCTGCGCCTTCATGAGTGATGGCAGCTGGTGCTGTAGCGTTTGGCTTGCTGGCGGTGGCTGGAAAACCACTGCAGTGTTTATCTTGGTGGGTTTAGGAGGGGGTCCTGGCCCCCTTTGCCCGATGTTGCCTGTAGTGCAGTTACTGCCTGAAGGCACCCATGGCGCTGCCTACGTGGGATATTTGTCCCAGCTGCTGGTTGCTGGCTGTCCCACAGCCTTGCAGGCAGTGTGGCATGGCCTTGTTGACAGGAAAGCTGCTGGGATCCAGTCCCTGCTGCCTGAGGCCATTGTCCTGTGCAGCCTATGCCAAGGTCCCACCAGCAGCTCTGTGCCACCCTCATGTGGCATCAGTGTCCCTTGGGGTCTGGCCTGCCCCGTGCCTGTGGTTGTGGGTGCCAGGGCTGTTGGGGTGCCTGTGGCCTGGCAGAGTGGCCATTGGTGCCTCCCAGTGATGCTCCTACAGCATTTGGGGGTTTTCTTCTGGTTTTGGTCTTCCAGCCCTTTGTAGGCATCTTCTGTAGCCAGGGACAGCCTCATGCAGAGCCAGGAGAGGAGCACAGGGGAAGCCCTCTCCCAGCCTCTCTGCTGACCTAACCACCCACTTTCCTAATCCATCTGCACTACTCACACTAACAGTGCCTGCTCTGAACTCTGCCATCGCCTCTGACATCTCTGCACATCTAGGAGCCCCCAGGCAATCCACCGCTCCTCTCTTGAGGCATCTGCCTGTACCAGCCTTGCCTCCTTGCCAGCATGTCCCCTCATAGCCCTTTTCATGATGTCCCATCTCTGTGTGGAACACAGGGTTCCTTGCAGCAAGCATTTCTCAATGCCAAGCCCCCATAAGGTACCGCCAACCCTGTGGGTGGTTCCCCTATGCCAGTCCCATGTTGCTGGCCCCATTTTACTGCTCCTGTGGCCAGGCCCCTCATCCCAGCCCAGGAGTCAGTGTCTGCTCTGCTGCTGGCTCATCATAGCCTGAGCATCTCTTGCTGGACCACAGCCTCCTTTTTTCACTGCTGCCCTCTCCTTCTAATGGATGAGGGTGGTCCATGACCTCAGGCTGCATTCAGGACCTGCAGTCCCTAACTGGTAGCAGTTAACAAATCCAGTTAGTGGTTATTGTGATGCAGCTGTGTGCAGGATTGGGATGACTTGAACCATACTATCAGCGTTGATCTTTTTGCTGCCTGCAAGTTTGTTCTTGGAAACACAAAGCTGAGGTCAGGGGCTGGCTGTAACTCCTCTAACACTGCTCAGCCAGCTCCTGTGTCTCTTGATCTCTGGATCCCCCTGTAGGATCCCATGCTGTTCCTTCTCCTGAGCCCCCTCTGTCTCCAGCTGAGCTCCTCTAACTCACAGCTTCTGCATGGCGCCCATTTGAGAAGTGTGTCTTCTTTCTTTTTTTTTTTTTCCTTTTTCTTTTCCTTTTTTTTTTTGTTTTGTCTTGTTCTCCCCTAATTCAGGAAAGGGCAAAGGTTGATGCTGAAAGGAAGGAGCTAGAGCAACTCCAGGCGCTTTACCATGAGTCGAAGAGCCACCTTGCTAAGTGCCCCGAGTCAATGCGGGAGCAATTGCAGGAGCAGATGCGAAGGGTCAGTGTCTCCCCCCACCCCTCCCGGACCATGGCCCACCTCCCTCCGCTCCAGCTTAGGCCAGCTCTTCCCTGCCAGCCGGGCTGCACTGGGAGCGTCGCGCCCGGGCTGGAGGCGGCTGGCACCGGGCACCACCGTCCTGGTAAGCTTGCCACTCGCCCGGGGCGCGGGAGAGCTCGGCAGAGCTCCTCGGGACCCGCTCGGCAGAGCTCCTCGGGACGGGCAGGGCACCAGCATGGACCCTGCCCTGCAAGGAGGGCAGGCTGGGGAGCCTCGGGGGCTGCTGCATCCTCATCTGGCTGCCTCCAACTATATCCTGAGAATGTTCATTTACACAGTGATGTTGATACATGTTACTGCTAGTCCTCAGCATTTTTTCCTATTACCTGGTGTTTTCTGGAAGTGGTTGACTTTCCCCAGCCCAGGGCTAGTGCCTGCTCAGATAAACCCACATTGCCACAGCCTGCTCCGGCCAGGCACTCACATTCTGGATGAGGGTCTGGTGTAGAGTGGGCAGGGGGGTGCTGAAGCTGTGTCTGCGTGTGGGAGCCCTCAGGAGCCAGCACGTCAGTGCTGTGTCACTGGCTGCCCATCTCATGGAGCAGGTGAAACACATCCCCGTGGGGTGCATGGCACACTGGCTGCCAGGGTGGCACTGGCAGGCCTGAGCTGAGTGCTGCCACGTGCTGTCGGTGCATGAAGGCTGGAAGGACACACGGGAGTTTGTCCAGCATGGTGCTTGTCTGTTGGGGCTTTGCCACCTGCAGGCTTGGTGATGCAGTGTTGCTGTTGGTGGTTGCGCTGGTGTTTTGTTACCTGTCAGGGCACGGCTTTAGCCCATGTGTGGTTCAGCAGGGGCAGCTGGTCTCCGAGGGCTGGCGAAGCCCCTGGCTGTGGCAGGCTCATCTCATGGGGGTGACTGCTCTGTGCTGGCCAGTTCTGGGTGCCTCCATTGCCTTCTTCTGTCTGCAGACACTCCTGTCAGAATCTCTCGTGTTTCTGATGCCCAGCAGAGAGCAAAACTGCCTGCCCTGCCACACCAGGCACAGGGGACAGGCTTGGCCACCAGCTCTTGTTCCTGGCCAGCACCAGTAGGATGTGGAGGCATGGCAGGAGGCTTTGCTGTGGGAGACCTGCCTGCAGGATGTGGAGGTGCCCATCCAGTGAGTCTGATCCGCTCACAGTGCTCTCGTGTGTTCAAAGGAGGCAGAGGCACTGGAGACGGAGGCCAAGCTGTTTGAGGACCTGGAGTTCCAGCAGCTGGAGCGAGAGAGCCACCTGGAAGAGGAGCGCGAGGCGCGAGGGCAGCAGCTGCTGCAGAGCCGGGCCGAGTGCCACCGCAGCATCGCCCGCAGGAAGGTGGGCATGGCAGGGGCAGTTCCGTGGGGCTGTGCCCCTGGGCCAGGCTGCATCCCAGGGCTCACCAGCAGCCAGCTCATCTCTGCTGCCACTCCCCAGGAGCGGGTGGCTGCCCTGGATGCCCAGGCTGCCCAGATCCGGCTGCAGAGTGCGCAGGAGGCCGAGCGCCTGGCCAGGGAGCGCAGCAGCGTCCTGCAGCTCCTGCAGAAGGTAAGGCCCTGACTGTAATGCAGCTCCTGCAGAAGGTAATGGCCTGACTGTGTGCTCCTGGGGGGGCTCGAGGCAGGGGACCAGATCCTGCCAGCTCTTGACAGGTTTGCTGGCAGGCAGGGAGAGCTGCCATGGGGTGCCAGTAGCCATCAGCTGCCTCTGACCTCTCCTCTCCCTGTGCAGGAGAAGGAGAAGCTCGTGTCTCTGGAGAGGCGATACCAGCTTGTCACAGGTGGCAGGAGCTTCCCAAAAATGTCCTCAGCTCTCCGAGAGGTAAGTTGGTAGAGAGGAGGCTGTAGTCCTTAGAGCTGCTCTCTCTCTCTTAAGCTGCAGCCATCAGTGAGAACGAGCCTTGTGCACCACCAGCTTTGCTCTGCAGCAGTTCCCAAGTACCTTCTGACCAGAGCCAGGTGCTTCCACCTGCCCAAAGTCTCTCCATGGGCTGCAGAGGTTGGGAGGGAGGAAGGGGAAATGCAACAGAGCAGCACATGGGACAGGATTGCTTAGGGTCCCATCGCTGCTGAAGAGCAAGTGTGGAGATGTCTTGGTGCTGGTCCAGGGGACTTCTAGGTGGGAGTGAGTTGCCCCATTACCTTGCTCATGGCTCTGAATGGGGAGCCACAACCATGATGCCCTCAGGGGCTGTGGTACTGCCTGACTTGCTGCTGGTAAGAGGCACAAGATGGCAGAGTCCCCTCGTGCCTGCCTGCAGTGGGACTCCTGCTGCTGCCACCTTGCTATCTCTGCCCACCTTGCCTACGTGACCTTTACCCTTCAACAGGAGACCCTCCATATCTCAGAACCTTATGAGCTGTTGGAGGGACCTAAGCCCCTGAGCCCCCTGCCAGCAGCAGCTGCCTCCTTAGCTTCTCCTGCCACCTACTCCTACCCCAAGGCACAAGAGGTAACTAACTAGAGGGACTAGCTGCATGTGCTTGCTCACTTACCCCTCCTTGGCTGAGACCCCTTTTGTGGCCTAATGGCACCCCCAGGCAGCAGGGCAGCCCCACAGCAGTGTGGCTGGAGCATTTGTCATACAGATCTCTGGCAGCTGTGCTCATTAACACTCAGTCCTTGATTCCAGGTGCTCTCCTGAGCCTGCTGGGCATCCCAGTTCCTGCCACTGCCCCCTAATTTAATCCTGGTGCAGTGGTTTCCCCCTTGCTCACTGCTTGCCATCTGGCTGGGCACCTCCTGACAGCATCCTGTAGGGTCCTGCTAGCATGGCTTTCCCAAAATAAGAGCAAGTCCCCAGCTTTAGCATATTTGGCTCAGAAAGGATGAGGAAGTGGATTTTAAGCTGGCCCAGCACAGCTGGAGGTGCCTCCCCCAGTGCTGCTGCACTAGGGAGGACTTGTGGCCCCTGGAAGACCCTGAGGCATCCCTGCCCCTCGTAGGCACTCGGCAAAGCTGCACTGAAGGCTGGAGCAAGATGGGTGCCAGCACACCCAGCCCAGCTTGAGCACCCCAAGGTGCTGCACACTGGGGACACCATGGGCAGCAGGGCAGGGCTGGGGAGGCAGGGTTGGGGCAGGAATGCACAGGGAGGTTTGCTCCCACTGTGCAGTCAGTGCCATGATGCCAGCACACGGGTCTAACTCTTCTCCTTCTCCCTTGCCATGGATTTCTAGGAGTACATGAGGCTGTCTGACGTTTTCAGGTTCTGCAGTAATGCACATGGCCCCAGCCTGGACACTAAAGCTTCTGCTGCTGCCCCTGCTGCCGCTCAGAGCTCTTTCTTGCTTGCTGTAGCTCCCACAGCCAACGAGGTACCTGCCCCAGAGCATGCTCGGGTTTGCTCCCTCGGGTTGCCTCCAGGCAGGGAAGAGCTGCGGCCCCCCGTGTGCCCTGGGGCCTGGACCACATCTCTCTGGGGTCAGGACACTTGTCTGGCTGCAGCTGAGTGGGGAGCAGAGGCTGCAGCTGCCCGGTCTCCTTGCTGGGGTGCACTTCTCGCCTGCTCTGGATGCAGTGGCAGGGCAGGAGCAGAGTGGGTGCCCAGCAGTGGGAGGGGCAGCCCTTTGTTTGTTGGCTGCAGTCCTGGCTGCTTGTCTCAAGCCAGGAGGATGCAGAGCAGGCCCGACCCAGTGCCCAGCAGCAGGGTGGCTGCTGCACCGACTGCTTTTCCTCCCGGGACAATGAACCTTCCTGTGGGGGTTGGAGCTGCCTGCTCGTTCCTCTGTGCCTGCTTGCCCCAGCTCTTAACCTGGTTCAATCTGCTTCTCTCTGCCCAGTATGTGACCGTAGAGCAGCTCTCGGGTATCCTGGGCAGCCTCCACACCCCTGCTGCTTCCCTGCTGGGCTGTACCCCTCCGGCTCCTTCATCCTCAGGCTGTGCTCCTCCTCTTCCATCTCTCCCTTCTCCCTTCGTCTCTGCAGAGGTTGGTGCCCTGTTTCCCTCCCTTTGGCCCCTTGTACTCTCCCTGGGAGGTGATGGAGATGCATGGGAAGGGATGAGCTGCAGATGGAGCTGAGCAGCAGCTCAGGCTCTTGACACTCCACACACCCTTGGCTGTCCTGCCTGCTGCTCCACTGCCCCCAGGGCAGGGGGTCTTTGTGCTTGATCAGTTCTCACATTCTCTTGAACAGCAAACAGCTCCTACAGCTGCTGGGACTTAGCTAGGGAGTGCACAGGATTCCCAGGGGTCTGCATGTTATGTTCATGGCAGGGGAGTGGTGCAGGCATAGGCAGGAATGCTTCAACCTCTTCTCTGTGCATCTGTCCCTCTTGCTGCATTTGTCCTTCATCCTTTCTCACGCAGCCTCTCTCTCCAGATGGAGCAGCAGCTGTTGGGAGGCCCTGTGTGTCTCCCGGCTCTTGATTTAGAGAAGTGGTACCAGGAGGTTATGGCTGGCTTTGAGACCTCCTCTTCCTCTGTCTCTCCTTCTTCTTCCCCTCCTCCACTTCCAGCTAAAGCTCACTCCTCTCACAAGGCTCTGCAGGTAATCCTGGCTCTCTGCTGCCGAGGCTCAGGCTTTGGGGCCGCTGGTTGTGGCCAAAGTGGGGCAGTGTGGGGACGTTCCTGTGGACCCTGAGTGCCACTGGGGCTCTGGCTGCCACTGCAGGCAAAGGCAGAGCTGTGGCTTAGGGTAGGCAGTCTCTGCCTCCTCTTGGGCTGCATTTCCTTGCCAGGATGGCACTGACACAGAGCAGGATCTGGGGAGCCATCTGTCTAGGGGGACTTTTGCAGTTCCCCCATGTCTCTGTCATTCTGTGTCTCTGTGCTCAGGTCTATCGTGCAAAAGCAGAGGCTGGTGCTGGTGTCCTCACCCCTCGGATGAAGAGTGGGACCCCTTCGTCCTCGCAGCTCAACCTCTCCGTGCTGGAGCGCAGCCCCTCTCCCAAGGTATGGCTGGCAGGGGGCCCAGGCACCCTGGCCGTGGCTCACACCTGCCTGGTGCCAGCCCCCATCCTTGCAGCTGACCACCCACTGTCCTGCCCAGGGCCCTCCCAGCCCGGCGGGCAGCCTGTCCCGCAACCTGGTGGCCACGCTGCAGGACATCGAGACCAAGCGCCAGCTGGCCCTGCAGCAGAAGGGTGAGCTCTGCCTCTGTGTCCTGGCTCTGGGGGGTGGTGGGACTTTGGGAGACGCTCTCCCTGCTGCCACTTGGGCAATGGAGAAGGGAGCCTGGCCGAGGGTGGCGACAGCAGCAATGCTCCAGCAGGATGCAGTGCCTCTCTCACAGTCTCTTGCTTTTCCCCCCTCTCTTTCCTTCTGACCCCTCCACCTGACGGCCCATCTCCAGCCAAGCTGCTCCCAGCAGAGCCCTTGCAGCCAGGCAATCTACCAGGTAGAGACGTGGGGTGACTTGGACTGCCTAGAGCAGCCCAGAGGCAGCAGCATGGCTGTTTGCTGGCACCTTCTGCCATACATAAGAGGGGCATGACCAGTCCAGGACGCCAGGTGCATCTCAACATCTGCTAAGAGACAAGCCTGTGCTTCCCTAGCCTGCAAATGCTTTGCCCTGCTTGTTCCTTACCAGCCTGGTGCATGTGCCCCCTGCTCCTGCCCAGACAGGTTGCAGTGCTTGCCAGAGAGTTGTGACCGCAGCTCCCACCTCTGCCCCTACCATGCCTTCGTGGTTCCAGCTGTGCCTGTAGTGTCTTCTGCCTGTGCCACCCCCTTTGCCCACCATGCTGTGGCTCTGAATGTGGCACATTTAACTTGGTGTTGTAATCTTGCCGTGGCACAGGTCGGCAGGTGATTGAGGAGCAGAAACGGCGGCTGGCAGAGCTGAAGCAGAAAGCGGCTGCCGAGGCGCAGTCCCAGTGGGAAGCCCTGCATGGGCAGCCCCCCTTCCCCACTGCCTTTCCCCGGCTTGTGCACCACTCCATCCTCCACCACAGCCGTCCCCATGGTGCCGGACCGCGGGCTGAGGAGCTGGACCATGCCTATGACACGCTCAGCCTGGAGAGCTCAGACAGCATGGACACCAGCATCTCCATCGGCAACAACTCTGCGTGCTCGCCTGACAATATCTCCAGGTAATCCTGGGGCCAGCTCCTATGGCCAGGGGACAGCTTGCTCTGCTGGTGTGCTGCTGGCTCAAGGTCCTTCCTGCTGGGCCGGCAGCTGTGGCTGTTTTGCAGTGCCAGCGGGATGGAGACAGGGAGGATTGAGGAGATGGAGAAGATGCTGAAGGAGGCACACGAGGAGAAGTCGCGGTTGATGGAGTCCCGGGTGAGTGGGGGCACCAGCACCGTGGCTGGGGGGCAAGCAGGACTCCAGTGCTTGTGGCTGAGTGCCTGTGCGTGCTGGCAGGAGCGGGAGATGGAGCTGCGGCAGCAGGCGCTGGAGGACGAGCGCTGGCGGCGGGAGCAGCTGGAACGCCGGCTGCAGGATGAGACCGCGCGGCGGCAGAAGCTGGTGGAGAAGGAGGTCAAGCTGCGGGAGAAGCACTTCTCACAGGTGTGAGGCAGGCTGCCATGCCCCTCTCTCAGCCTGGACAGTGAGGCACACCCAGCTTGCTGCTGCTGTCCCAGCTCGCAGCAGAGGGACGTGGCTCTTGTCGCTGTCGGTGGCCTTTGCAGGGCTGTGTTGCTTTTCCAGGCTCGTCCCCTGACACGGTACCTCCCCATCCGCAAGGAGGATTTCAACCTGCGGCTGCACATTGAGTCCTCGGGCCACAGTGTTGACACCTGCTACCACATCATCCTGACAGAGAAGATGTGCAAGGGCTACCTGGTCAAGATGGGCGGGAAGATCAAATCTTGGAAGAAGCGCTGGTTTGTCTTTGACCGCATGAAGCGCACCCTCTCCTACTATGTGGGTGAGTCCCGATGCCACCTTGTGCCCCCTCCCCATGCCATCACCCACAGTCCACAACAGTTCCCTCTCTTGGGCAGATAAACATGAGACAAAGCTGAAGGGTGTTATCTACTTCCAAGCCATTGAAGAGGTTTACTATGACCACCTCCGCAGTGCAGCCAAGGTGAGAGCTGGGCACTGCCCCTGCTGTGCTGTCTGCTGGTAGCCACAGTGGGTGTCCCCATTCTCCTGCCCTCTGTCATGCTGGTCGGGGGTGGCAGAGCAGTGCGTGCCAGGGGTGCTCCTGGAATGATCTGTGGCCCCTGATGGTGCCAGCCTCAGGGCACCAAGGGCAGGACCCCAGTGCTGAGCTTTTTGGGGGACCAGGAGGGGATTGCTGCTGCTCAGAGGGGAACAGAGTGTTGATTTCATCCTCCCCTCCAGAGCCCCAACCCTGCGCTCACTTTCTGTGTCAAGACCCACGACCGACTCTACTACATGGTGGCACCATCAGCCGAGGCCATGCGCATCTGGATGGACGTCATTGTCACTGGGGCAGAGGGCTATACCCAGTTCATGAACTGAGGGCGGTGCTGTGCATCCCAGATCCACCAGCTGCATGGACTTGTGAGCCTCCCAAGCAGCGAGGAGCTCCTGAGGGACCGTGGTCCCTGCTACGCCTCCTGCCAAGGGCTGTGCACACCGACATCATGGACCTGCGTTGGGCACAGCTGGGTGGTCCTGAGTGTTGCCTGTCCAGGCAAGGGAATAAGGTTCTTTTTATGCTGACTTTCTAGAAACAGACTTTATTGGAACAATATCAAAGTGCTGAAATGTAAAAAGCTGCCAAAGAGCTGCTGGGACCTGAGCCCTCTGCCTTGGGGAGGTGCTGGTTTTGAGGCTGATGCTGATTGTTGCTGCCACAGTGTTCCAGGGAAGGAGACGGTGAGGGCCCCCCAGCCCCGTGCGGCCAGGATGTCCCACTGTGTAGACTCAGACCCCTTTTGTAAACCTTTTATAATTTCGGAGCGTTGTCCCCTGTGCTGGGGCTGGATGGGTGTTGTGGCGCTGACTGCCCGGTCTTAAAGCATTTGTGAAACAGGCTCTCCCTTCTGCATGGACTCTGAACTGGCAGCACGGTACAGACGGACCGGGGTCTGCCCCGGGGCTGGGGGACTCTGGGCAGGGCTGGGAGGGAGCTGAAGGGCACGGCAGCGAGACCAGAGATCGCGGGCACCGCGGCAAGGGCCAGGAGCCACCAGCGCGAAGCGACCGGAACATCGGGACGGGGAGAGGCCAATGGAAGGGGCGTGGAGCCCAAAAGAGGAAGGGGTCTGGGGCCGCACCGGGCCCGGCTGGGTCCACGCGAGCCGTGCCCAGCCCGAGCCGAGCGAGGGCGGGCCCGGGGCGGGGCCCGGGGGCGTGGTTCACGAGGAGGCGTGGCTCGGCGGCGGCCTGCCCGCGAGGCGCCTCTCGGCCGCCGGGGGGCGCGCGCGGTGTAGGCGGATCGCACGTGGCTCGGCTGCCGTGAGGCGCGCGCAAGCGCACGCGCGGTGTCAGCACGCGCGCCGCTCAGGCGGCCCCCGCGGCCCCGCACCCCGTGCTCTCGGCCAATGGGGCAGCGGCTCCCGTGCGTGACTGCTTCCGGCTTCCCCTGACGTGGCCCAATGGCCGTGCGCGCGCTGTGCGATTGGCGCGCGGGGCCGGCCCTGGCAGCCGCGCCAATGGGCGCGTGCCGCGTGCCGGCGGGGGCGGGGCCAGACGGCGGGGCCGCCGCGGCGGGGCTGCTCCGCGCGCCGGGCCGAGCCGAGCGCAGCCGAGCCGAGTCCAGCCGAGCGGTGCCCTCAGAGCATGGCGCGGTTTCCTGGCCGGGCGCTGCCCTGGCTGCTTCTCTTCAGCTTCCTGCCCGCCGCAGGTACGTGCGGGACGGTGCGGGGAGGCGGCGGCTCCCCGGACGCTCCGTGCCTGGGCCGCGACGCCGACGGTGTGGGGCCGGCGGGGAGGAGCGGCCGGTGCGTGGGTGCCTCCCCAGCGCCCTGTCCGGGCCCCTGCCTGTCTCGGCCGCCCACACCGGGAGCAGGTTCTCACCGAGGGTTTATCTCCAGAGCCGGTGGCGGTGATGTCGGTGGACGTGGGCAGCGAGTCGATGAAGATCGCCATCGTGAAGCCTGGAGTGCCCATGGAGATCGTCCTGAACAAGTGAGCGGCCGCGGGAGGGACCTGGGGGGATCCGGCCTGTCCTGCAGCCCCCCGCCAGCGCCGGGAGGGGGAGGCTGGCCGGGACAGGCCGTCCCTGTTCCTCTCTTGCCGGAGGAAGGCTCCCATTCTCCCACGCAGACTTGTGACTCGGTCTCGGTCCGGGTGGGGGCTACGGGGCATCCTCCAGGGCACTTTATTAACTCACCTTTAAGGTGTTCGGGTGCGCTTTGGGTACCTTTCCAGCAGGTGCCGAAAGCCCGTGTGGTTAATAACACGTTGTGGTACCAACCCAAAAGGGCACCCAGTCCTCTGATACTTAGTTCCCCTAAGGGAGCCCAGAGCCAGGTTTGTTTTGCTGTAGCTGTTCAAAGCCCGCACTTGTAACACAGGTAAATCTCTTGCATTCAGCTGCTGCTGCAGCCCATCCTCAAGCCACTGAGTGAAGAATGTGCAGGTGAGAGAGGACATATGATTAGGAACATCTTCAGTTTCTGGGAGTCTGGAGATAACAAGGATATTTCTCATCCACCTCCCTGAAATTCAGCAGTGCTAGATAGAATAAGGGAGCTGTCTTGCCTTGCATTTGGGTGGAGGAAAGCAAAAATAGTCTTATCAAAGCACTGAAGTGGTGGTGGTGGGGGCTTGTCTAGTAGCCCCTCAGCTGAGCAGAGCTGGCCCCCCTCTCCAAACACCTTCCCTTAGTCCTTCTGGAACAGGAAGAACATCTGTCTTCACTGGAGACTGGAATGTTCACCTTTTCCACTGGTTTATTCCTCCCTCTCTGTTCTCAGGGAGTCACGAAGGAAAACACCTGTGGCTGTTTCCTTGAAGGAGAATGAGCGTCTCTTTGGTGATGGTGCGCTGGGGATGGTAAGAGTTCCATTTGTTTGCAGAATACGTGTATCCCATGTTGTCACAAATATCTGAGACAGTGTTTTATTGTTGTCCTGCACGCCCCATCTCCTTGATGTGTTACTGGCCCTGTGTAGGGGCTGTGTGCTCCTACTCCCACAGCAGGAGTTGTTCCCCATGTAATCTGGGAGGGATTGGTTTGGTGGCAGTGTAACTGAAGGGATGCAAGTGGGTGATGTGTTTTTTCCTGCAGTCCATAAGGACGCCCAAGGTGGCGTTCCGATACTTCCAGGATCTGCTGGGTAAGCGGATCGATAATCCCCACGTGGTGCTGTACCAGTCCCGCTTCCCGGAGCACGAGCTGGTGAAGGATGAGACCAGACAGACTGTTATCTTCAAGTTGTCCCCGTGAGTGGCTGCTTTTAGGTTCTTTGTGGGATGGATGTCAGCTACCAGGCTTCTGCAGCTTGCTGTTGATGCCATCGTTTTCTTTCCCATTGCAGAACGATATGGTATTCTCCTGAGGAGATGCTGGGGATGGTCCTGAACTATTCACGTGGTCTGGCTGAGGAATTTGCAGGTTGGAAGGGTTTAGCTTTTTCTTGTCTATGTGTGTATGAGTTTGTGCACTATAGGATTTGAGGAGAGACCAAAAGCATTCAGAAACCCAAGGTTTTTGGAAACAGGATATTGGTTCTCTCCAGCTGTAGGCTGTAAGCAAGACCTAGATGCTATCCAGTTATCATTTGTTTCTAATATGATGCAAGTTTGGGATCTTGGATCTCTGTTTCTATTTACCAGCTAGCCTTGCAACGAAGGAGCCTTACAGGCAGTCTCTGGAGAAAAGCAAAGTGTTTTCTTTATCATGTGTGTGATCAGAGTTGGAGGCACATGGAATGTGGCTGCTGGGGAGGGTGGAAATGGCTCTGTGAAGGCTGTGCTGTAGCTTTTCTGGATGGAAACTTGCTGTTGGAGCTGAACTAAAAGAGCAAAAATGGCCCTTTGCTGTGAGACTAGCTAACAGAGAGGACGCTGTCGTGCGTGTTTCATGCTGTGTTGCCAATGAAATACCATAGTAATGAAAAGTGGATAAATTACTAGGAGGTTTTGTCATGTGGTCAGTGACACTCCAGCCAGTCCAAAGACTTTTTATTGGAGACTGAATATGATCCAGTGGCAGTGTAAGCCTCCATGAAGATAGTATTTGTTGGAATGGAAGGCTACCCAGAGCATTTGAGAGTATCCTGACACATAAAAGCGTGGTCAGTAGACTTGTGGCTTTGTGTGAATATGCTAGGTCTGCTTGGTTTCAGCAGGATACAGAGATTCATCCCTAGGCATTCTGGCTACTGCTGCAGGGTTGCATTCTTTGTGGGTCTTCACCTCGGGTCCTCTGGGTTTGCTGCCGTCACTCCATCTCAACAAGTGTTTGCATGTGGCTACACTGATGCAGAGTTCCCTGCAACTGTTTCAGAGCAGCCCATCAAAGATGCAGTGATCACAGTTCCTGCCTACTTCAACCAAGCCGAGAGGAGAGCGGTTCTGCACGCCGCCCGCATGGCTGACCTCAAGGTGCTGCAGCTGATCAATGACAACACGGCTGTAGCACTGAACTATGGGGTTTTTAGGAGGAAAGACATCAATGCCACGGCACAGGTAGGTGCATTTGAGGGATGTGGAGAGTCCTGCCAAGTTGCCTGCATGCAGGGGAGAAAGTCCTGTAGAGGAAATCCAAAGAACTTGAAGTAGACCGTGCTGATCAAGCAGTCTCCTCTGTTTTCATGTGTTTGTCAACAAGACAAAGAGATTAAACGCTGCCTGCATGTATGGTGAAGCCTGAAAGCTGCTGGAGTGAGGGCAGGTCTAGGGAGTTCCCATTTTGTAAACCTGTTCCTTGCCCATCAGCTGGGGAAAATAACAGCAGCAATTACTTGAAGTATTGCAACACTGACTCAGAAGTACTTGATTTACCTGAGGCTGAAGAAAGAGCAAAACTTTGGGTTTTGGACTGTGAAATAGATTAGAAGTTTTCTTGTCTCCTTCTGTCAAACACGACCCTGAACATCACCCGTGTTCAGTCAAAAATGGTATAAAGTAGTCCAGGGAGTAGGTAGTTGCGGCCTGTATCATACTGAAAGGTTCTTTACTTATTTGTGGGGGGATGTCCAGGTGTTTCTGCTTCACTGTCCCAACTTTTCTTTTCAGAATATCATGTTTTACGACATGGGAGCAGGAAGCACTGTTTGTACTATTGTTACTTATCAGACAGTGAAAACTAAGGACTCGGGAACCCACCCTCAATTGCAGATCCAAGGCATTGGGTAAGAATTCTACACGAGTGCACAAATCCCACGGGTCTCAGAAAAGAAACCATTTGTTTCACAATCTTCATCATGTAGAATTTTGCAGTGAGGCTTCAATACAGTAATTTGGATGGCTGAGGGGGAAACATTTGGAGCAAGAAGGCTTCAGTTGGGAATAATTTTGGTATTGCTGTCTTTTGCAGAAGGTAGCTGAGAACTTCCAGGAGCCTAGGAGGGAACCAGCATACTTAGTTTGCTTTAAGCTTTCCTTTGTTAGCCTCAAAGCATGTAAACCTATTCCATTGCATGTAATCTTTTAAGTGTATC